ACAAAACCAGGATACACCACTGATGACATCTATTTGGCCCCTTGATAAAAGTGGAGCAATATTTGTATACCGCAGACCAAGCATGTCAAACTCGCGGCCCACGGGCCGCATGAGGCCCACAAGGACCATCTTTGCGGCCCAGCAAGCCGCGAGTGCATGCTCGGTGTTATAGCAGAGTAGGCACCTGCTTTCCCCATATTGCAGGTGCCTACTCTGCTAACATTTACCCGGCCGAGGAGGAGGACCACGAGGGAGCTCAGTGTTCCAGCTCCTCACTGCTCCCTCGCGCGCGCCGACCAAAGTGAAGCCGGGTGCCGGGATATGACGTATATTCCGGCACCCAGCATCACTAAACGGCACGCGGGAGCAATGAGGAGCAGGAAGGACCCCAGGGAGATGCCCCACATCAGCTCCAAAAGGTAAGGAGCAATAATGAAAAGTATGTGTGTAAGTGTGTGAGTCTGTCAGTCATTGAGTATGTGTGTGTGTCTGTCAGTGTGTGTGTTTGTCTGTCAGTCAGTGAGTGTGTGTATGTCAGTGTGTGTCTGTCAGTGAGTGTGTGTGTGTCTGTCAGCAAGTATATGTGTGTCTGTCACTGAGTGTGTGTGTATCTGTATGTGTGTCTGTCTGTCATTGAGTATGTGTGTGTGTCTGTCAGTGTGTGTGTTTGTCTGTCAGTCAGTGAGTGTGTGTGTGTCAGTGTGTGTCTGTCAGTGAGTGTGTGTGTGTCTGTCAGCAAGTATATGTGTGTCTGTCTCTGAGTGTGTGTGTGTGTGTATCTGTATGTGTGTCTGTCTGTCAGTGAGTATGTGTGTGTGTCTGTCAGTGTGACTGTGTGTGTGTCTGTGAGTGTGTGTGTCTGTCAGTGAGTATGTGTGTGTGTGTGTGTCTGTATGTGTCTGTCTGTAAGTATGTATGTGTGTCTGTCAGTGAGTATGTGCGTGTGTGTGTCTGTCAGTGTGTCTGTCAGTATGTGTGTCTGTCTGTCAGTCAGTGAGTGTGTGTGTGTGTCTGTCAGCAAGTATGTGTGTGTCTGTCAGTGAGTGTGTGTTTGTCTGTCAGCAAGTATGTGTGTGTGTCTGTCAGTGTGACTATGTGTGTGTCTGTCTGTTTGTGAGTGTGTGCGTGTGTGTGTGTCTGTCAGTGTGTCTGTATGTGTCAGTGAGTATATGTGTGTCTGTCTCTGAGTATGTGTGTGTGTTTGTCTGTCTGTCAGTGTGTGTCTGTCTGTCAGTGAATGTGTGTGTGTCTGTCAGTGAGTATGAGTATGAGTGTGTGTGTGTGTGTGTGTGTGTGTGTGTGCGGCTCACATAAACGTAAAATTAGCTGTAGGTCCTACGCTTTTTGTCCCTAGTGCATGGGACTTCCTCAAGGACAAATAAATCAGCGATAATTACAGAACAATAATTGACATGAAAAAGCAGCCTAACCACCCCACCCACCAGTCACTTTAAATAGGGCTAGTCCCTCAGTTCATTGGTGGTCCAGTGGGTGTCTTCCTTCTGCCGGAATCCAATTAATACAGTTAAAGGTGTGATAACCCATTCGAACCTCCGATATTCAGCTGATACTTGTTAACAGGGCAATGGATTGAGCGGCAAGGCATTCCAACGGTACTTCCGCGTTCCAATGACGACTTCCGACTTCATCAGCTGCCAAAATGGCTTTGCATTCCACTTTGGAACGTATTAGGCGATTCTCTCCAATGATCATCATATAACTTTACGGAAAAAATTACCCATGGATTCAGGAGTGCCCAAACCTCCCATCTACTAAGGAAAGACTTTGATAAATACATTATAAACATTAATTTGAAGCCAATACAATAACATTTGATTCACTGTTCCGTACAAACGTTTTAGATGATACTCCCCCTCTGCAGCCTATATCTTCCAAAATGATTATTGCCATATCCATAGTGCATGAGATCATCTGCAATTCACCATTCTAGATGTTGAAATATAATAATATAATAATGTAAAAAAAGTTTTAAAAAAATAAAAAAATATATATATATATGAAGCCAGACACACTGATATGACGTTTTTCATAATCCCTCTTAATGCAATATATAATACTCCCATATCATAAAAACTTTGAAAGCAAAAACAGGGACTGGAGCATACTGGAATATAAATGATACAGAAGAAACTTATTGGTAGACTTTCATAAAAGAAAAGGGACCACTACAAGAAACAAACAAGGATAATGTCCACATTCATTCCCTTAGGTTCCAATGTCTGAAGTTTATGGATCCAATATGTCTAATGTTGGGCCAGTGTTTTAACCCTGTCACCTCCCCTCCAATGTGACAAAATATGCTCAATGCCTATACATGTGAATTTGCTAAATGAAAAATGAGGACAAGTCAGGCAATGGACCGGGACAGAATGAGACAAAAGACCCTTTTTGATATTATTAATATGTTCAAGGATCCGTACTTTCAAAATTCTTTTTGTACGGCCAACCAGGGACGTTTTAGCCGCGAGGCAAACAAGGCATTTGCCTTGGGCGGCAAAAAAAGCCGCCCCCAAATGCCCAGGGCAAATGTCTTGTTAGCCTTGCGGCTAACTGACATGCTGGGCAGGCAGGCGGCTGGCGGCTGGCGAGGGAGCACTTACCCTGAGCTCTCTGCTCAGCTCCCTCGCACGCCGCCCGCAGAGTGATATGACGTCATATTCCGGCTCCCAGCCTCACTCTGCGAGCTGAGCAGACAGCTCAGGGGAAGTGCTCCCTCGCCAGCCGCCATCCCGCCCAGCAGCCACTGGACCCCCCAGGGAGAGGAAGAACCCCCCCCCCCCAGCATTCCCAAAAGGTAAGGAGGCTGGGGGGATATAATAAAAAAAAGTATTTTAGTGTGTGTGTCTGTTAGTGTGTGTGTGTGTGTCTGTCTGTCTGTCTGTTAGTGTGTGTTTGTATGTTAGTGTGTCTGTCTGTTAGTGTGTGTGTCTTTTAGTGTGTGTGTCTGTCTGTTAGTGTCTGTCTGTTAGTGTCTGTCTGTTAGTGTGTTTGTCTGTTAGTGTATGTGTGTGTCTGTTAGTGTCTGTGTCTGTTAGTGAGTGTGTGTGTGTTTGCCTGCTAGTGTGTGTGTGTGTGTGTCTGTTAGTGTGTGTCTGTGAGTGAGTGTGTGTGTCTGTTAGTGAGTATGTGTTTCTGTTAGCTAGTGTATGTGTATCTGTCAGTGAATGTGTGTGTGTGTGTATTTAGAAGGTGGGGCAGGGGGGAAGGGTTGAGTGGGGGTAGCGTGGGGGGGGGGGTGCCTGAGTTTTGTCCTGCCTAGTGCAGCACAAAACCAGGATACACCACTGCGGCCAACGTATTGCTTGCCGCACGGACACTGCAGCAAATAAACTGCAAAGTCTGTGCGGCAATCAACATTAGACTTCATATTGAAGCATTGGCCTGTGGTAGAGCTTACAAACTGATCTGACCTGTTGGTGTGTATAGCAGAACATGTTTTACATGATTTACAAGCTCTAAAAAACCCTTGGTTTTTACTTATGTTGTTTATGTTGGGTTTGATTGCATAACTAGATGCCAATAAGTTTTGATTTTTCTATATATAAATTGGGTGTGTTGAGGTAGTGTACTGCCTAAAACAGGATCCTGTAATAGGATTGACCAATGTTTTTGTAAACTTTTTTAAATTTGCCAGTGATCCACATTATATTGCATTGTAAAGGCATACCTAAAAGTCTCATTGGATGATTTGATATGTAATTTATCAATCAATAAATCGTTTCTATCCATCTGTGTGGTTAACCTGATTTCTATTTCATGGGGTTTTTTAAATAACCTTTTTAGAATAGTTTGTTTTTTAAATGTACTGATTGGTATTTAAAATTCTTGAGATGTGAACAGTTACGTCTGACACATGTAAAATGCCCCCCTTGCTATTCCTTTCAGCCATGGTCGATGGTGGCAGCTTTTGTGGTGTAAATATCCATTCCCATCCATAGGTTTAAAAAACACTTGGTTCTTATCTGGTCCTCTTCATAGAATAAAGTTAAAATAAAGAAATTTATTTAATTCTTACTCCACTCTGCAGTAAATTTAAGATTATACTCATTATGATTAAGCTAGTTATAAAATGAGGAAGAAGGCCCCTTGCAAATTATATAATATCATCTATATAATGTCGCCAGAGCACCAGGTTTGCCCTCCAGTCCACACTCCACACGAACAAATCCTCCCACCTCATGTAGGTGTTGGCAAACCTGGTGCCCATGGTGGTCCTAGTGATTTGTAAATAAAATTGGCCATTAAAGAAAAAATAATTGTGTTCTAAAATAAATTTAACCGAAATCAAAATGAATGATTGCGATTAAGATCTAGGCACATGTAGTTATTGATAGCTTCCAAGCCTAGGTTGTGACTGATAACAGTATAGAGAAATGAAATATCGAGTGTGGCCCAACTTGTCAGGTCCTCTGCCTCTGCGCCGCCCTTGGCGACCTTGCTTACCCCGTCACCGTGAGTGGCATCATCTGGTCTCTGTCTGCTGGCTGTCCCCGCCACCGCACTTCAGATTGGCAGTGTGTCTGATGCTGCACACTCCAGAGCAGCATCCTTATATGTGTGCTGGACCCTGTCATGTGACCCAGCACACAGTGATGGCCTCAGAGAACACAAGGGAAGGAAGAAACTCCTCCCCCGTGTTGTGATTAACACTAATTGGAGTTTAGCCAATCAGACACACCCTGTGTGTAAAAAGCTAACTCCACCCTTGCCTCAGTGCCCTATTGTGGTCTTTGGATTACCATTGGGCTTTTCTGGTTACCGATCTCTGGCTTGTCTTACAATTATTATTGCATTATTAAACTTAATTTTTATTTTTTACTAAGGTTATTGGTGTGTTTCTTTCCATTTCTCTTAGCTGCAAAAGAACGAAATTCCTGATCCACCCTACGCTCAAAGATTTTCAGATAAAGACCTCTGATTTAAATTGGAAAGAAATTGGATTTAGATTTAATCTCTGCCTATCTCCCCCAAAGGTGTATGATTGAAGGGATGAGGGGTGTAGTAAAAAATGTCTATTAATAGTCATGGATCTGATATTTTTTAAGAGCTATATAAAGATCAAAATCATTAGATATTTTATTGGGGGTAAATTTCATGCCTTTTCCCAAAAGGTTAATTTCATCATCTGACAGTGGGGACTCTGTTGAATTAAATATGCCCTTCTCTGTTTCCCTTTTGCTTAGGAGTAACTGTCCCTGTGGATCCCTATTTAATCCTCCACTCTTGATCTCTTTTGTGGGGAGTCCACATAAAGAGGAGAGAAACAGTTGCGGTGTTCCCATGTCTCTCCCTTGGATGGAAGGAGTTGGTGATGGATTTTTCTTTCGGTGCCCTGGTTCTCCCTTGAAATTTTTCCTCCTTATCATAATGTTGAATACTCCTCCTGTTGGTATCTGTTTCATTCCTCACCACTTGGGCATACGATCTTGATTTCTTATCATCCCCCTGAGAACTTCTACTAAGGGGTCTTGAGTTGAATCTATCTTTAATGCATGTATAGTTAGTCCCCCTAAAGTTGGAGGGGTGTGAATTAAAGTTCAACTTTTTATGGTTATTCCCACTTGAGTTGATCTTTTTACTTTTATTTATTGGAGTCCTAGAGATCTGATCTTTTCTAAAATAAGCGGGCATCTGTCTCCATGAAATTCTCTTACTCATAGCAAACGTATTGTGAATTTTATCCTCCTTATCCCACCTATATTTTTTACTTTTGGTACTCACGATTTTCTCATGCAATTTTTTTTGATTTCTATGCAAAATTTTGTCCCTCTCCTTAAAATCAACACTCTCTTGGTCAACCAACAGGTAATTTCTTCTTTCAATTTCTCCTTTATCTCTCTAGAATATTTAAATATAAGTTGGATCAATTGGAAGGAACAGTGAGAAAGGATTTCGTCCCATTCTTTAAGGAATAATTCATTATCCAGACCCCATGCTGGTGTTTTGTTTTTTTACATTCTTTATTTCATTGCATATTTAAAAATAAAATAAAATAAAAACATTCTCAGAAGCCTGATCCTAATTTCATAACAAAATATGGAATATAACACATACATAGTGCGGAATCATGCAGTAAGTAGGGGGAAATAAAGCAGTTTTGACTTCTGAAAGGCTCAATTTTCCCATAATACAAACTTCACTATCATATTTGTATGATATAAGCATTAATACATATAATATTGTAACGCTGTGAAGTACATGGTTTGAAAACATCCTTTTATGAATGACATATTTGGTAACTAAATTTCATGTTTTCCTACTTTCGCAGCCTATGGTATATATATGGGACTCCTGCACTCTTCTTACATTACATCAGATTGGTTTTGGCTTTTTTGAAAGAGGAGTAGGATGTCTCGCCTTCTCCACTGTGGTAAGTTTTTCCATATTAAAATGAGAATTGCTGATTTATATTCATTAATCATATTTCTTTTTTAAAACATCTATAATTTTTTGTTTCTTAAGTATAATAATATGCATAACATTCCTAGTGATTGTGATCTTTTCTTCCAATACCCCCTGTCCTCCTCCCCAGCATTTTTGGCTTCTCTTGCTATCCAATAATGGATGCCTCTGATATAAAGATGTAACTGACAAGATGATAGTATCTCAAACGCATGGTCTCCGTGTGCATGAAAATGACACGTCATTAGTTGAGCAGTGGATATATCAGCACCTATACGCAAAACTATTTGAAAGTGGAACTGTATTTTTTAACGAATCACGTTGACTGTGTTGGAATTTCACTAAAACTCCAGTCCAGTCAAAAGTTATATTAAGACTAGTTAGGGACTACTTTGTGTTAGTATTTTCCTACACTTGACAAAAAAAGGCAGAGCTACATTTTTTTCAAGCCTTGTCAAGCCCCCAGCAGTCACAAGTGACTGAAGGGAAAAAGGCTCTGTCTGTGGAGTATCCCTCAGTGTTCATAGACCTCATTGTTGTATTCTTGTGCATGCGCAAGTGTACTACCCTGATATTGGCTTCTGACAGCTGATGCGCCAGGAGCTGTAATGGACCAGCAGCAAGAACGTGGAGGAAGTGGCAACGGACAGGTTCAGGTAAGTGTAATTCACCTTCCCCTCCACTCTGCGGCAACCAGACAACCAATGTCAAATTATGCAAAGACCCCAGACGGTGACAGAGACACTTTAATAATGCAGTTCTGGGGCAAAGTGCTAGATTTGCTAGGTAAACTTGCATTTACTCTAAAAATTCCCTGTTTTGTCTTGATAAATAGTTTCATCCACAGAATACAAAAATATTAAATTACAGCTCAAGTTTATAACTTTCCATACACTTCAATTTGCTGTTTAGTATTTTGCTATGTATTGCTCTGTATATCCTTTGCAATGAAAATACAATGTATTTTTTATTTTTATAAAACAGTTCCTTAAAATATCCCCTGCTTCCCATATTATTACAAAGTATTGTTAAAGAGCTTAAATGAAGCAGATATTTATTTTCATTTTTTTCAAGTCTCCTGGTAACTTAAGCTCTTAATAAAAATATTTAGTAAGCATTTAGAGTTGCCCTGGCAACAGGGTTGCTAAGTCAGGTGTCGGAGTGAATATACCCAGCCAACTGACTGTAAAGTTTTATGGTAAGATAAAATTAAAGAGAACAATAGGGTAATGTTACTTAAAAAACCTGCAATACACTTCTTCCTTATTGCAAAGCAACTGACTGAGATTTTCTCGAGGCATGGTTTAATATACAGTGAATTGTAGAACATTAACAGCTGATTTTTAATATGCTTTAAAATGTCACTTGGCGGTAATTTTGCGATTTGATTGAAAGTGAACCACAACTCATTGCAAATTCAAATACTTCAATAAAAAATAATTTGCTGTGCTAGTACAAGCCTGCTTTTGAAATTATCTCTGTATATCAGATAGCACTTTTCTTATCTTTCACCATTCTAAAAACAATGACCCCTTAATCCCCTCATTGACTCTTATTCCACTCCTTTATCTCTTATCCCAGGATTCAGGCTCATACCTATGTGTAGTAGATGATTCTAATGAGCACGTTCTGTCTGTATGGGACACAGTAAAGGGGAACAAGATTGCAGAGACCAAGGTAAATTCTACCTTAATATTACTCTAGATTCAGCGAAAGGTTCAAATCTCACTATACTGCTATGGATGGATGGTTTTATGCTGCTCCACAGAACAATGTAGAAAGGTTTTATACCCAAACCCATTGTGTATTGTGTTAGCCCTAAGATCAAAGTAACCCAAGATTGAGTAACCTAAAGTGACAAAGCTCTCTCTTTATACTATTCCAAAGTTAATTTAACCAGTGGCTATAGTACCGTATCAATTCCACTGTGCTGTTCATAGAAAATGCTGTTTTAGGTTGGAATTGGGTTCTGCGGCAGTAATGGATGCTGTTAATGCTCTTCTGTTTAAAGGAAGCACTAAATATGTTTTGACAAAAGTTGTGCAAGACTTTATGCAGTGAAGCAATAAAATACATTAGCATTTTAATTTATACTGAATGGAATTTAATGCCCAACAACATAAGGACATTGGGATTGAATCAGCCATGTCATGTTGGACATTTTGATTATGGGAAAAAAAATATTTATTTATATGATTCATGCTGTGTTGAGAGAGTGATCGTAACCTTATTCTATTGATCAATTTCTTAAGACATTAATCCTGTGCAGTAGTTTCTTTTCATTTGACATTGTTTATGAAGCATTCATGGACAATATCTATATTCATGTAGCAGTTGAACAGCAGAATCTTTCTTTCCTGACAGTGCACTAATGAGCCGGTATTGTGTGTGGCCTTTAACCCAGTGGATAGCAGCAACATTGTCACTGTTGGCAAGTCTCATGTGCACTTTTGGACCTGGAGTGGAGTTTCTCTTACCAAGAAGCAGGGGATTTTTGGGGTAAGATAACTTCACCAATCTTTGCTTTTCTTTTATCCGTTTAATCTGTTTTAGGCACTGATCTCCATGTCTTGTTCTCTATGCTACCCTCTTATTGTATAATTTAATGATCTCTGCAGGTATACCTTCAGGCAACATACAATTACATATGCCAATACATATATTCCATGTATGGCCTTGAATACTCTAAAGTTTGAATGTCACTGTAAATATTTCATCTGTGGCGTGTGGCATTGGTTTGTGCAGTGTAATGTCTCTATTGAATTAACATTTCTGTTCATGGCCCTGTAGAAGTACAAAAAGCCACGTTATGTGCAATGTCTGCTGTTTGATCGAACTGGGGATGTCTTGACTGGAGATTCAGAGGGTCAGATATTGACCTGGGGAAGAAGTGCAGCAGATACCAGGACCTTAGGGAGAGGAGCAAAGGGTAAGATAAAAAATATACACATAAATTCCTAGATTTCACTATTAACATGACGTAACGTCATGATTTTATTAAAGACACGGAGGCGAGTATTATGCTTCTCTTTCGTTAATTCTCCCTCAGCAGCGAAGAGAGATATATGCAAAAGAGAGAAAAAAGAACAAATAACATTAGCATATTGACAGTGCTATCATAGGTATCCACCCCCTTAGTATATAAGGTGTAGCACTCCATGCTTCTTCCTCTTTCTTCAGCGATCCGAAGACCAGATCCATAACCGAACTATAAACTTGGCCTGAACAGGAACAGTGGGCAATAGGCAAATGTCCATTCTTTGAGGTTGGACTGTAGCGCCTTGTATCGGAACTTCAACACCTTGATAGTATAACTCAGGCTAAAAAGAGAGGAGAAAATATGGTAATATTTGGTTGGTAACTGGTTGTATCATGTATCCCCACATAGGTTATAACTTATTTGTACAGAATTGTAGTCATGTCGTCATAACATAAGATATTCAGTTAAGATTATGTCTACTTGTATCACATAGCCACTTACCTGAGTGACGTATGAAACCTTCTAATAGGGTAATTTGTTCGTAGGGGCCCACCCGATCTGTGGTCGATATCCGTGTGAAATCCAATCCCTCCACCCAGGGAGGGCGGGAGGGGATAATACTCGCCTCCGTGTCTTTAATAAAATCATGACTTTACGTCATGTTAATAGTAAAATCTAGGAATTTTATTAAAGACACGGAGGCTCCTATTATGCTCTTTCAAAGCTGAGCAATAACTCTTTCCGAGAAATGTTGGATTGATTTAAAATAGAAATTCCGGTATGTGGATTCCGTAGACCAGTCTGCAGCCTTCAGGATGTCTTCTAATCGATACCCTATTGTCGATGCTTTAGAAGCCATAGCGCCTCTGACCGAGTGGGCCGAAAAAATTGTAACATCTATCCCGGCCGGGGCTAATAACCATTTGGCCCAACGCCAGTAATGTCGCTTGGTAGTAGGACCTAACGTTCGGGAGCGCCAGTCCCCCTTCTTGGTTGACCTGTAGAAGAATTTTGCCGCTACTCTCACTTTCTTGTTGGCCCAGATGAATTGTGAGAGCAGTGTCTGAGTCTTGTGTAGGTAGGAATTCGGTACGTCTATCTGCAGTGTCCGAAAGAGATATTGAAGCCTAGGGAGGAGAGACATTTTAACCGCCGCCATCCTCCCCAGCCAGGATAGATATTTGTCTCCCCATCCGTTCAATCTGGTAGCTAGTTCCCTGTATAGGGTCTCGTAGTTTGTCTTAAACAGGCTACCCATTGACTTCGTCAATTTAATTCCCAGAAATGTGACATCGTCTGTCCTCCAATCAAGCTCAAACTGTCCCTGCAGCACTTGCATTATGGCATTGGGTATCCCTATTCCTAGGGCCTGGGTTTTTGTCACGTTCAGTTTGTAATACGAGCTGTCCCCGTATTCTTTTATTACCTTTAGAAGGTTCGGCATGGAGATCAGCGGTTGGGTCATGGTCAGCAGCACATCGTCTGCAAACAAGTTAGCCTTATATTCTTTCTTCCCTATGCTCACCCCATGGATAGATTCGTGTTGTCTGATCCTGGCTGCTAGTGGTTCCAATGCCATGACGTACAGCAGGGGTGACAGAGGGCACCCCTGTCTCGTCCCATTTGAGATGTTAAAGGGCTCGGATAGGAAGCCTGCGTTGAGAACCTGGGCGGTTGGAGCGCTATACATCGCCTTGACCGCTGACCTGAACCCTTCCGGTATGCCAAATTTGGTCATAACCATTTCCAGGAATGTTCAGTGCAGACGGTCAAAGGCTTTCTCTGCGTCCAGGGCCACGATCAGTCCCCCCCCTTTGTGTAGTTTGGGCAAGCTGTGCAGTATGTCAAGTACTTTTCGTGTGTTTTCCGCTCCTTGTCTCCCTGACATAAACCCGACCTGATCGTTATGGATTAACTCTGGGAGAATTGCGCTCAGTCTGGTTGCGAATACTTTGGCGAATATTTTCGCGTCCGTATTGAGCAGGGATATGGGTCTGAAGTTTTGTGGGTATACGGGTGGTTTCCCAGGTTTCGGAATTGTGATGATATGAGCTAATAGCGTATCTCGTGGAAGTGCCTGCGCACTTGTCGCCTCCGTGTATGTGAGTGCAAGGTGGGGTGCGAGGATGTGTTGGAATTGTTTATAATAGGTGTTGTCCAGCCCATCCGGGCCTGGCGCTTTGCCCCTCGGCAAGTTTTTTATTATTGTTTGGAGTTCCTCACTGGTTATGGGTTTAATGAGATCGTCAGCTTGTTGGGGTGTGAGTGTCGGTAGGTCTATCTTATTCAAATATGAGTTGATATGTTCTCGTGTGGGTTGAAATGTGGCTTTGTCTGTGTTCAAATTGTACAGGGTGGCATAGTACGTTGCAAATTCGTTGCATATGTCCCTAGGGATCATTTTCTTTTCTCCTGATGGGGTCATAAGCTAGGCTATTTTTTGGTTTGCCCTTTGTTCCTGCAGCCTCTTAACCAGAAGCTAAGCTTTGTTCCCCTGCGTGTATTGTCTCGCTTTTAATCTCTGGAGCATATAGGCCGTTTGCTCTAATGCTTGTTGGTGTAGCTTGTGTGTAATGGTGGAGATTTGCCTTTTTAAGTCAGGGGTCGGTGTTATTTGGTTACGGGTGTTCAACAGGTGGAGTTCTTTCCTCCATTGGGTGGTTTGGGCCATGGCCTGTTTACGCAGGTATGCCGCTCGTTTTATAAATATCCCCCTAATCACTGCTTTGTGGGCAGCCCATATTATGCTCTGGGACATCCCTACAGTGGTGTTCTCCTTAAAATATTTATTTAAAGCCTCCTCTACTTCCCTTTTAAATGTGGGTTCCGTGATCAAGGAAGCATTTAGTCCCCAAGGGCTCCGCTGTTTATAGTCGTATTGGTCCCTGACTGTCAGTATGACCAGGGCGTGACCTGTCCAGTTAATCTGTCCTATGTCACATCTTGTTATTTGGTTCAGTCCCTGACCCTGAATGAGGATCCCGTCTATCCTCGAGTATGTATTATGGATCTGTGAAAAGTGTGTGTATGCTTTCTCTAAGGTATTGGTTATTCTCCACGTATCATAGTAGTGGTGTATACTAAGGAGTTTTTGTATCTGTTTGCACTGCCTATTCAATATGCTGTATCTCGGGCTATGTCGTGAAATGTTAGTATCTAGTTTCGGATCCCAAACATGGTTGAAATCCCCACAGATAATGGATATCCCTTCCTGTAGAGTTTGCAGTTTTTGGAGTACATGCTTCAGGAACTGACTTTGTTTCGTGTTAGGGGAGTAAATACTCGTTAGTGTGTATTTCATGCTGTTGATAGTGCATTTTACAATTATATACCTCCCGTTTTCGTCCACCTCTGTAGAAGTCAGGGTAAAAGCTACTTTCCCAGATATCAGTATGGACTTCCCCTTGGATTTGGTGGAGGACGTCGCATGGAATTGATGCGGGTATGCCGTCTTGGACGGCGGAATGAAATTATCGGTTTTGTAATGCGTCTCCTGGAGACAAATGATGTCTGCATCTAGCCTCTGGAGTTCCCTATGTAGCTGGTGTCTTTTGACCGGCAGATTTAACCCTCTAACGTTGAGGGAGAAGATTCTCATGGTGGTCTATACTCTATCTGTTTTTTGATGGTTATGGTGGCTGTTAAGTTCCAGCACGGGGGGTTCGCTCGCCCCAGCAGCATCAAGTCGAGCGACCTTCCCCTAATAGAGGGTAGGGTGTGGGCATGTCTCGCTCGGAGGGTATGGGGGTGGTAGGTCCTTTGGGGCTTCAGTTCCCAGGTATTTGTCCCCTGTATGTGGGCTATCCTAGGGAGGTCATGTGTGCACTTAGGGTGTGGTCTGTTTTGGTTATCCCCATCGAGACCTAAGGGGGTCGGGTAACAGGGTAAAAACACGGGTAACAGATAAAACCAGGTAAACAAAATAAACATATGCATATACATTTGGTGTGCCTTGCTCGGCTAAGGTACTGCTCGGTACCTGTGGGGGTGGAAGCTGTAGCTTCCTCCTGGTGGGTTGTGCTCCCCGAGTGAACCCACTCTAAGTATGTTATACTTGTTCTCGGCATATGGCGGCCGGGCGGTCCCTGCTATAGTATGCAATTTTTACATAGACATATACATATACACACACATACACATATGTATACATATATATACACATATACATATATACATATACATATACATATATATTTTTTTTTCCTGTTTTTTTCTTTTTTTCCCCTTTTTTTTTCCTTTTTTTTTTTCTTATAGCACAGTATGGTTGTTATATTATGGGGTGTAGCATATAATCATACATTAACCATAACTCTTGTGTGGCATATATACGATACCCTCGATGAGTATTCTTAGGTTGGGTCCTCTGGTCTTCTGACAGCCAACTTGTGGAGATGTCCTTATAATTGTTATGAAGCAGTCTTTGTTATATCAGGCTTCCTGTAAGATGTCTACATGTGCGCCCTTCCACGGGTGTTGGTCGGTCTGTTCGGACTGCGCCGGCGGTCTTGCTCGGTTAGTCCCCATCTTTGTAGTAGACAGGTGCCCTCTTCTGGCGAGTTGATGGTCGTCACTTTACCTCCTCTGGTTATCAATACTTTCACTGGGTATCCCCAGCGGTATGGAATTTTATGTGTCCGCAGCAGTTCTGTTACTTCCTTGAATTCTCGTCTTCTTTTTAATGTGTACGTCGAGATGTCTGCAAACACTAACACGCCGTCGTACGGCTCTGGGAGCGTTTTCTTTGTGCGGCTTGTCTGTAGTACTGCCTCTTTCACATGGTAGTAATGCATTTTTATAAGCACGTCTCTAGGGGTGTCATGTGGTAGAAATCTAGGCCGTGCCGTTCTATGGTAGCGGTCCACCAGTAGTTGGTCCTGTGGGATATCTGGCGCCAGTACTTTAAGCAGGCCGTATAGATGGGCAGCCAGCTCCGCCGGCCCTATTTCCTCCCCTACTCCCCGGATGCGCAAATTGTTACGGCGGGCCCTGTCCTCCATGTCTGCAATTTTTATTTCATTCTCATGCAGTCTGTTATGGAGCTCTGCAATCTCTTCCCCCATGCCTCTTTGGGCCCCTGCCAGTTCCGCCATTTTTGTTTCATTCCCCCCCGTCCTCATTTCTAGCTCTTTAACTTCCTTGTGCAGTGCGCTGATGGCAGCCTTGAGGCTGTTCTCAATGCGTGCTGACATACCTTCCAGTATTGCTTGTAGCATGTCTTTCGTGAGGGGGGTTTCAATATCCTGGCGCTGGCTGTGTCTGTCTTCCAAATCTTCGGCGCCATCTTGTGCATCTTCCTGCAGTGCAGCGTGCTTCCCTTGTGGCACCCGGGAGGTGAAAAATGCGCTTTTTTCGGCTTTGTCTGCCAATCTTTTATTCTTGGCTTGGGACATGGTGGATAGGGTGGTATACTGCCCCTTGTGTGTCGTGGTATTGATGCCAATTACTCCTTTGTGGATTTCGTCAGAGCGGAGAATTAAATAATAGGAGCCTCCGTGTCTTTAATAAAATCCATCTGTTACTAAAGATATTTACTCAAAATTCTTCAATTAGATTTAAGTTAATAACATAAAGATATATAATCCCAACATATTGTTGTTTTCGGGCAGGGAATACTGGACAATGCAAACAAGATTTGTCCAGAGAGCCGACGTCTCTTTGATATGTTAAAAAAGATAGGTGTTAGCAGACTATTTTGGTCCTTGGTGCATGTCTAAGATTTATACAAATGGTTGAAGCCTGACATCTGTCTCATTGAGAATTCCAAGAACCCCAAACTTTGTATTTTTTTTTAGTCGGTTTTACTATAGCAGTTAGGGTTTGGCTACTTCGTGGCATCTGCTTTTCTCCTCTGATGTTGAGCTTGTTGCAAGCTAATTACCATGCAGTGGACAAAAACCACTGGAGAAATAAATCACTACTGTCTACAAAAGTTTTGCATATATTTGCGGTCAAACTAATCCACAGATAGTGGCATTGAATCAGATATAAATATATATATATATCCATAAGTAACTTGAAAGAAGGCTTGCAGGTGGTGGTTTATAAGGTCACATTGAGCTTGTACCCATCTATCTTAGTATTTCAAAGGTAACTACAGGGAGTGCAGAATTATTAGGCAAATGAGTATTTTGACCACATCATCCTCTTTATGCATGTTGTCTTACTCCAAGCTGTATAGGCTCGAAAGCCTACTACCAATTAAGCATATTAGGTGATGTGCATCTCTGTAATGAGAAGGGGTGTGGTCTAATGACATCAACACCCTATATCAGGTGTGCATAATTATTAGGCAACTTCCTTTCCTTTGGCAAAATGGGTCAAAGAAGGACTTGACAGGCTCAGAAAAGTCAAAAATAGTGAGATATCTTGTAGAGGGATGCAGCACTCTTAAAATTGCAAAGCTTCTGAAGCGTGATCATCGAACAATCAAGCGTTTCATTCAAAATAGTCAACAGGGTCGCAAGAAGCGTGTGGAAAAACCAAGGCGCAAAATAACTGCCCATGAACTGAGAAAAGTCAAGCGTGCAGCTGCCACGATGCCACTTGCCACCAGTTTGGCCATATTTCAGAGCTGCAACATCACTGGAGTGCCCAAAAGCACAAGGTGTGCAATACTCAGAGACATGGCCAAGGTAAGAAAGGCTGAAAGACGACCACCACTGAACAAGACACACAAGCTGAAACGTCAAGACTGGGCCAAGAAATATCTCAAGACTGATTTTTCTAAGGTTTTATGGACTGATGAAATGAGAGTGAGTCTTGATGGGCCAGATGGATGGGCCCGTGGCTGGATTGGTAAAGGGCAGAGAGCTCCAGTCCGACTCAGACGCCAGCAAGGTGGAGGTGGAGTACTGGTTTGGGCTGGTATCATCAAAGATGAGCTTGTGGGCCTTTTCGGGTTGAGGATGGAGTCAAGCTCAACTCCCAGTCCTACTGCCAGTTCCTGGAAGACACCTTCTTCAAGCAGTGGTACAGGAAGAAGTCTGCATCCTTCAAGAAAAACATGATTTTCATGCAGGACAATGCTCCATCACACGCGTCCAAGTACTCCACAGCGTGGCTGGCAAGAAAGGGTATAAAAGAAGAAAATCTAATGACATGGACTGCTTGTTCACCTGATCTGAACCCCATTGAGAACCTGTGGTCCATCATCAAATGCGAGATTTACAAGGAGGGAAAATAGTACACCTCTCTGAACAGTGTCTGGGAGGCTGTGGTTGCTGCTGCACGCAATGTTGATGGTGAACAGATCAAAACACTGACAGAATCCATGGATGGCAGGCTTTTGAGTGTCCTTGCAAAGAAAGGTGGCTATATTGGTCACTGATTTGTTTTTGTTTTGTTTTTGAATGTCAGAAATGTATATTTGTGAATGTTGAGATGTTATATTGGTTTCACTGGTAATAATAAATAATTGAAATGGGTATATATTTGTTTTTTGTTAAGTTGCCTAATAATTATGCACAGTAATAGTCACCTGCACACACAGATATCCCCCTAACATAGCTAAAACTAAAAACAAACTAAAAACTACTTCCAAAAATATTCAGCTTTGATATTAATGAGTTTTTTGGGTTCATTGAGAACATGGTTGTTGTTCAATAATAAAATTAATCCTCAAAAATACAACTTGCCTAATAATTCTGCACTCCCTGTATTTGCAAACTAAATTACCAATGATAGGTCTACAAAAATCTACTATCAGCACCCTGTTATTGAAATGACCTACAATTATCTGATCCTAGTCAGCAGATGAAGTATGTTTGAAATATCAGTAAGAAAAAAAATTAACCCTGTACTGTATTACACCACATATTTAATACGCAAAGTTCCTATTGAGATTCCCATTCAATTGTTACTTCCGTAATGCCACCCAGATATTTATCAAATAGTTTATTCTGTAATTTTTGCATGCATTATATTAATAACCCCACATTCTATGCCATACATTGCTATTCTGGTTGTCCATAAAATATACAACATACATGTGTTCTTATAGGCTATTCAAGATTACTGTGTTCTTATAGGATATTCAAGATTATGAGGAGTTTGTTGTTTCTTCAAGAGGATTGCATTATTTTTATTTATTTAAAAATAAAGGAGAAATAAATAAAACACAAATTTTTAAGACGAGTAAGCGGAGAGATAGGAAACAATATGGGGGAGGTATAACCAATCTTCCCCAGAACCAGCTCCCTTGACACATCAGGACTTTATATTTGTTTAATGGTAGGCTGTCCTTCTATTAGTGGAATTGACATTGATTTTAAGAGGTCTTTCCGAGGGCACATTATTGCATGTAAAAAATATAAAGTGAGATTGGAGTTAATGCTTTTTTAAAACAATTGTATTGTTCAGTCACGTTCTATTTTTAAATGAAACACTCCTACAAGTGTATAATGCAACAGGATATGATTGTGCAAGTGCATAATCCCCTACGGGTGTTCAATTTGTAGTGGAACTTTTTATAGAGGCCAGTGAAACCCCCGTGAACTGTCATTAAATAATACATTAAGGTAATAAAAAGAAAGGTCATAAGTCCTTCTTAAGTGTGCTATCTAGAAAACGGAATTCTTAGTTTCTTCAAAACAAATGATATTGAGAAAACCAACAGGAAAAAAATTGTAACCTCAGACCCCAAACTCCATTGTGAAATCAGTTTGTTGGAAATATGAGATTGGGGAACTGAGAAATATTCTGTAACCAAATGTCTATAAGGGAGATTTATATAGGTGTCTCATTTCTGGTCTCAAATATGTTCATATTATTAAAGGGACACACCAAACACCTAAAGCAATTCAGTTTGCTGAAGTAGTTCAGGTGTGAAATGTGTGCCATGTCTTTTCATGTTAGAAAAAGTGCAGCTTTCAATATAATTTGGCACACTTATAAATTAACCTTGCCCTTATAGTGTTAAAAAAAACCATGTCGGGTCCCTGGCCCCCCTTGTTCCCCTTCAATATAAAGAAAACTTAGCTTATTTCCAGCGCAGCGCGGGTCTGCCGGCACTGGCCCCTCCCCTGATCCACCTCCTTGGCTGACATGATGATCTCAGCCAGTCACAATGCTTTCCCATAGAAAAGCATTGGATTGGCTGAGATTGTCAATTCTCATGATCTCAGCCAAGGAGGTGAGGCTAAACACATTGTACAGCACTGACCCAGGAAGCATGTCTAGTGACTGTCTAAAGAGTGGCCACTGGAGGTGTTAGGCTGTAATTTAAACACTGCCTATTCTCTGAAAAGACAGAGTTTACATTAAAAAAAACCTACAGGCACTGACTACTCACCAGAACAACTACAATAAGATGTAGTTGTTCTGGTGACTTAAGTGTCCCTTTAAGGTAAAAGTAGGTGAACTGGAAAAAGTATCTTTACAAGAGGTGCTTCCACTGCACTGACCAAGTAAAACATGGTCACGTAATGCCTAAGCCCTGTAGGAAAGCATTGATTCAATGCTGTCCTACAGAAAAGTTTGAATGTGCAAAGTTCCTAGTGCTCCTCTATGAGGAGTGTTGGATTGGACATCGGCGACGTTGCAGATTGAAGAGAAGTAAGCAGTGCCAAGGGACCAAGGCGATGCTGGAAAAAGGTAAGTAAAACTTTTATTTTTTTCATTTTATAGCAAACAGGCTAGTCACTAAGAGCAGTGACAGCGATACTATAACGTTAGGAACACATATGTGTGTTCCATTAAGGCGAGGGTAGCCAAACTAAAAACATTGCTGACTTACGGGGTTATTCACCAAAGTGAGAATTTAAAGTGAATTTCGAATTTAAGGCCATAGTAGCTGAACTGGAAGCATAGTTGACTTAGATAGTTGACTTTCTTGTTAAACTATTTTCCCTTAAATTTGAAATGGACTTTGAATTCTGAATTTAGTAAATATCCTTGTTGCTGTCATACTGACAACCACAGAGGTGGAAATCATTTTGCAATGTAAAACATTGCAGTTTCTCAAAAACAGCAATGTTTACATTGCAGGGTTAAGAGGACAGGGTCACTGTGCCCAGAGCATCTCACTGAGTAGCCTTTAAAATTTTAAATTCTGTATGAATTCACTTTGAATTCTCACTTTAGTAGATAATCCTGTTCGTAATGACCTGAAACAAGAGACATGAAGCAAAACATTTTTGTCTGACAGAGAAAGTGATGATAAATTGTGTCATCTAAAAATAACAGGGCACAGAAAAAATTATTAAACAGTTGGGAAAAAAATGCCAGATCGAATAAAATACAATTAGGAGAATGTCTACTAAAAGTGTCAAAGGAAATCAATAGTAAGAGACACCATGCATGGAGTCCAGAGCTCGAAAAACAAAAATATAACAAAATAATCAAAAAATAAATATAAATAAATTAGCCTAGTAGTGTCCAAAACAAATTATGGATACTATGGATACAACAAACTGTATCGATATTGGAGACATACATTAAATTGAATAATCCAACACACAAATAGATATGTAGTAAATTGTTGCCCACGCTGTATCTTACTGGATCTCAATCAGTAGCTCCGTCTCGTGTGCGTTCCACATGCCTTCCAGGTTGCCAAGGCTAATTGTCCACAATAACCCAACACGTTTCGTGGAGCAAATCCACTTCATCAGAGGATACTCTTAAGTACTCTTTAAATATCTCACCTAGTAACTCAAATGCCTCTATACATATGGATAGAAATCAAGCAATATGCAGCATAAAACACATCAAAAACAGACATATTATAACCATAATTTATAACACTAAATTAGACAGTAGAAAATAATACATTTCAATTATAAAATAAATTGCTTGGTTAAAAACCTTCACATTAGGGGGGGCGTGGCCAGCTGTCTAACGAGGAGGACGCGTTCCCGTGCAGCTCCGACACAGAGAAATACAATAGAGGCCAGAAACCCGCAAACGGGACCCTCCAAACACCACAATTATAGCCCCCGCACAGCTACTGACATGGGGCGAAAAACTAAGAAATTCCGTCTGCCGGAACCGCCAAAAGCGCCCGACATTCGGCTGTCCTTTATGAGGCCTACACAAGCGGCACCAGCCAAAATGGCGCCCGCCGCACCCAGCGAGGAGGAAGCCTCAGATGACTCCCAGGAGGGCAGAGACAGCCCCACCTCATCTCAGGCAGAAGACGGAGCCCAGTGTCAGGCATCTGAATCTGAGGAAGACTCATCCCCAGTTACAAAGAGGGACATCAGAGACCTCCTTGAGGAAATGAGGGAGGTGTGGAGGGCAGACCTGCAGGCCACAAAGAAGGAGATGGGGGTCATCCAGAAGAGGCTCACTGAAGTTGAAGCCAGAGAAAGCGCCAGAGAAGCCCAGCAACAGATCTCCAATGACGCTGTGCAGGATCTGCGCTCACAGGTCCAGCAGCTCAAGAGGACGGTCACAACGCTAGAAGCTCGCCACAGAAAGCGAAACATTCGCATCAGAGGCATACCAGAGACCATTGGGGACGAAGCCCTGCTGAGGTACATATCCCGCCTCACCACCAGAATGGAAATAAGGCTGCACACCGAACCAGACAAAATAGTAACCGCATTTAGAATACGCAAAGCCGCAGCAGCGCCAGCAGAATCCCCAAGGGACGTCATAGCGGTCACGAAAGATATTCAGACCCGCTCAGCGATCATGGCTCGCTCCCGAGAACTGGGAAGCGTTCAATTCGAAGGCAGCACAGTGTCCCTTTATGGAGACCTCCCGTTCGCAGCCCTAGCGGAGCGGAGACAACTAGCATCAGTGGCTAAACAATTAAGAGCGGAGGCAATCAAATACCGATGGGGGGCAGATGGATCCCTAACAGCAATGAAGGGAGATCGGACACTCACACTCACCTCCGCGGACGACCAGGCACACTTTCTCCGCCAGCTGAGAAGACAAGAGGCGGAAAACAAAGAACCCAGAGAAGCCGACACCGGGAAGCAAAAAGCCGCACAGAGCAAACCAGGGCCCACAAAGAGTCACCACATTGCAATGACACCGAGGAGACAATTACTCACCTAAGCGGCTTACCACAGCACTCACTTAGCACACCACCAACTCCCAGGTGATAGAGCATACACCCGGCACCATTCTGATAGGATAAACCATACACCAAGTTATAAGCCCCAGAAATCAAATCCAATCCAATCCCAGATGTATTACCATTCTAGCTAAAACTAGAGACATTCCTCTCCCAGATGTTTGGCTCACAGAGAGCGCAAAGTTGGAGACCCCACAAACACCCTTGAAAGCGGGACTGTCTGCATCAATACGGGCTTGAGAAGTGGCGTAACAAAGGGTCACAAGGAACCTGAGGTTGCAGAGTAACCAACAATAGGCGTTTTAATAATGACATCATGGACTGTTACAGAAACTTTGTTTTGCAGTTCTTTACATTTCCCATACTATGACACTGTTGTATTATGAGTACTAAACCTCTAATAAAATACAAATTAAAAAAAAAAAAAAAAACCTTCACATTAAATCCTATATTGGCATAGAACCACACATGATAAGGTTTTAGAAATATAAATTGCAATATTCCCTAAATAATAAAATGAAACACTATAAAAAATACAGTAAATCCTCACTCATGGGGGAATTATCCCCTGAATGAGAAACAAAAAAGAGAAACACACCAAAAATCCCTTCAAAAACCTATATGGAAAAAATTATTCCATATTCATATTATAATAAATCATACTTGGAAAATCACTATAAAATGTAAAAATAATCAGTCTTAAAAAAATATGACTAAAAAAGGGGATTACCGCCTTACTCATAATTTATTAAAAATTAGAAAATAACAAATATTAAAAATGAGGCTTATCACTTAATACAAATATTGATATATTTTTTTTTAGCTATTTTGAATTTGTAAAAACATTTTTTTAAGTATGAGAAATTTAGTAAATTTTAGTGCAGTTTAAGCCAGTTTATAATTCATGCTGGCATAACGGATTGTGAGAACCAACGCAGGAGAGATAGGGAACATATATGTATTTCATATATGCAGGAGAAATAGGGAACATATATGTATTTCATATATGTATTTCCTATATGAAACACATTGTAAAACCAAACATGTTTGTATTAGGTACTGAGATAGGTTTATATATTTTATTTTTGCTCAATGGTGTGAGGAAAGTATAGGTGTGACCAAGACTTAGCTAAGACACTTGAATTGCAACATACCTAACGTAAGGTATTCAAGGTTTTAATAGCATGATTTATGGGAAATAGATATCAGATAATAGGATTATAAGGTAATGGGCAAAGAAAATTAGATATTATTACATGAACATAAAAGAATGCTGAAATAAATAAAAAAAAATATTGTCATATATTTTTATTTTCGTGTACTGTCTGTGCATGCATTTCTTTATACAGATTTGTCACTGTAATGTAATATTCACACTCTTTTTCTTTCTTGCGCTCTGGTCAGACACCTATCAGATTGTACGCCACACGCGTGCTCATGACGGTAGCGTGACCTCGCTCACTGCTCTTCGCGATGGCTTCGTGCTTAGTGCAGGTGGAAAGGATAAGAGACTGGTGATGTGGAGTGAAACTTTGACCCAGATAAAGGAATGTGAGGTGAGGAAGCAGCAGCACAGAAACCCTGCAGAGTGTGGAGCCATTCTTATGGCATGTCACGGCACAGCTCCCACTTTCTCATAATTAACAGTTACCTTCCATTACAGATCCCTGAGCACTTTGGTGCAGTTCGAGCCATCGCAGAGGGCATTGGTGGGGAATTGTTAATTGGCACAACAAAGAACGCTCTGTTAAAAGGTTCAATGGATAATGGATTCATGCCCGTTATACAGGTTGGAATTTATCTGCTTTGTCGTTAATTAAAGTACAGAGAGCATGTGTCATAAAGTCAATAAAAAGGCCAGGCTTTCTGTCATAGTATAAATTATTGATGACATACCTGCTGGCTGCCTGAAGACATCATGGAAGATATTTTCCAAAATAGCCAAGTGCTTATTGCCACCACTTCCATGGGGTGAGCTGAGTGTTAATTTAAGAACAGACTCATGGAACATTTGTTCCTTAAACAGAAGGACAAAGTATGGTATGAAATTAAATTCACCAAAACACCCTGATAATCACCTTTGGAATTTGCTACCTTGGCCACCTCTGTGACTCTGATCTTTCATCACATCCCAAATCCAGTCATTCCTTTCACTTTCATTTTAGAGACATAGTTCATATGTGCCCATTACTAACTCCATGATCTGATTATCTCCTATCTTGACTACTGCAACCCGAACTTTACTTAAGTCCAGACTGCCCATTTGCAACTCATAATGAATACTAGACTTATTTTTGGACCAAACTGCAATTTAGCCAATGTGGTGGTTGGCCAAAATTCTAATTTCCGAGCCGTCACACATCAGGGTCATGGAGGATCTGATTTGCGCGAACCTAAAAATGTTTGCATAGTTCTTTTCGTGAACCAGACTGCCACCAGAAAAGGATTTAGGTTTTAACACTATAGGGTTAGACATACATGTTTGTGTTCCTGACCCTATAGTGTTTCTTTAAGGCTAGATTATCCGTGCTGTGATATTTATCCAATAAAAATGAAAATTCAGCGCACTAAATAGCAACTTAATGAGCTACTTACTTGGGGAAAAAAATTCCTTCTCGAGTTCTCTGCAGTACAAGGTACAGCGCACTCACTTATCCACTAAAGAGCAACTGGATTAGGGGAGTGCACTGGATTTTCATTTTTATTGTACTTATTGGCTCTCAGCATCACCCTATTTATGCATGTTTAGGTGAGTGCAGCCAGCCCCTTGTTTTCTCATAATATTTATCCAAGTCATCTTTGTTTCCAGTTTAGCTGATTTGGCCTTACATGTGAAATTCACTGTGAAATCCAAACAATTTTCACTTTAGTAAATTACCCTGTTTATATTGCTAGAAATTCACAGTTCAAATAATGTTCCTGAGCCATGACACAACACCAAAATGTGAAAATAAAAACCCTGGTTTGAACAGTCTGAGTGCAAGATGACAATACCTCGATGTTAATATTGTATGTAAATGTTGTTTACAGGGACATACAGATGAGTTGTGGGGACTGGCCACACACCCTTCACAGAACATCTTTCTTACTTGTGGACATGATAAACAGTTGTGTGTCTGGAACGGCAATGAACACGCACTGAGTTGGAGTTGTGTACTGGAGGTGAGACACACACAGTCACTTAGCTTTTAGTCACAAACAGGGAGCTTGGTGTGCATACCAATGGTGGGACATGTGAAACATACTTTGATACAGGGATGCCCCAGATACTGTTGAACTACAACTCCTATGATGCTTTGCATGCTTACAGAATGACAAAGCATTATGGAAGCTGTAGTTTTACAACATAAGGGGCTCTACCTTTTGGGTACCCCTGTGTTAATACATATTTATTTTAATAAACAGGTGTGTTGTTGGTTTACAGCTATCTTGCAAAGTGGCCAAGTTGAAAACTAAATACAATGGGACATAGCTGACCCCAGAGGAAACGTGGAAATCTTAGTAAAATGCATAAGATGTATATTACATACATAACACTCTATACCTGATTGCCATCTAAGCCTTGTACTACAACTTTAGAGAAGTTTTTTTCCTCCTACTGTGGTCATCATCGTACTTTCACAGTTCCATGAGTCACAAGTCTGTTGGAGCTAAATGTTGTTCCAGTTAATCCTGGCTGTAAATGACACGGAGACAAACATGTGAATACCTATGTGTTAAAGGGGAACTGCCACTTATCTGGAGATTACACTATTAAAAAAAAATTTAATTCACCTTTAACTTGTATTTTTTTCATGTATATGAAATAGATAACAAATCGCATCAAAATCCAGTTTAGTCCAGGCACAGCCATGGCAAACAATGCAAATGAAGAGGAGAGAACAGAAACATTGTTTAATTTCTCCTCTTCGCTGCAGACGTTCTCTATGCTATCTGCTAGCCACAAAGGACAGAGCTTGTAAGAATGACTGATGGAAAGCCGAGAAGAAGTTATAAATATTAATATTAAAAATCGTGGGAAGTGATGTTCCCCTATAAAGTTGAAATACCCTGATGAAATTGTTTTGTCATTTTGATTTTATTTCCTATTAATCTCTCTGGTCCTTCACTACTTGAGTGGTTGGTTTTTTTTTAACTGAATTTATTTTGTACATTTTTTCTATTTCTGGCATCTTGTCCTAAAATTTAAAAGTTAATTAACATCTCACTGTTCGATAAATAATCTTCCATAAGATGCACACTGTGAAATGACATTGGATGCAAAATAATGCAGATTGGTGTACAATTAATTCCATCGAAAGTGCCGTTACAATGTACCTTGGCTAATTTTACTAATAAACAGGGGCATGGAAAGTGACCGCTTACCTTTATTACAGGATCATGGCCTGTGTGCCGATTTCCATCCCAATGGAAGAGAGGCTTGTGTGGGACTAAGCACTGGAAGGTAATGACAGCGTGAATACAAATATACAGCAGAAGAAGGGACATGACACAACCCATCTGCATGTTCCCACTCAGTTTGGCCATAATGCCCTTCTCTCTGATTCCTTGTTCACTCCCTTTCTTCCATCAGTTCATGCTTTTTCTCTACTCTGTAACGGATCACCTGGCACCCCGACTGGGTACCTGTGTTGAAGGATGCTCCTAGCGCTTCCTGAGGGCTCCAAGCACTGCAACAGACACCATAACCACCGTAGTCTCCTCCAGAGAGCAAGACAGGAACAAGCTCTTACAAGAGCTTAGCAGTGATAAAGCAAGAGACTATGACTAGCATAGCAATCCCTTGTAGCAGATTCCCCCAATAAGAGATGGCACTCCAAATTGAGGGTGAAGTAGAACTGCCAGAGCTGTGGGTTTATTGTTTTTATATACACATTCTTACACATTAGTACCACCCACAGGGTTTTGTAAAACAACCAATAAACACGTACAATACACTCAGACTCTCTCACACAAAATCCTCCCCTCTGTCTGTGATAAAATTACCTTACACAATGGGTTAATATAATTATCACAGGCAGGAAAATACACAGTTTTACACAATATTCATAACTGAAAAGGTATGTATCACATTCACATAAAACATTTTCAAAAATCAGCATACTCCAAATACAAACATACGTCAAAATCATACAAATTGGTCCAGTGGGTCAAAAGTTAGATCAAAGTCCTTTGTGACCAAATGAAGCATGGCTTTTCTGCCCAAAACCGGTTCCACAGAGTCTTCTATCCTGGATATAATTGGGAAGTAATCCAATTCTCTCCAAGGACAGAGGCAAAACTCCATTAGCCACATGGTAGCAAAAGACCATAAAATACATAAATATATATAACTGTGCAGCTATTGCATAAAACAGGTACATTCAACATATCCCCAGATAGCTTAGATCTGAGCGCACATTATCACTGAATGGCGCTCAGATCACATACATACAGTTCAATTGCCATGTAGCCAAAGTCTTTCACATAGTATTTCGTTATACGAATGGTCTCCATGGCATAGCTATCTGGGGTATCACTGTTCAAATAGGAAAAGTACCAAATGACCCGGCTTTCGGGTCTTTGCAAGGGAAAATCAAGCATTTCAACATGGGGCCATAGTCACAGTGCAGGAGGCTGGCAATCAGTCTTCTCCAATGCTCAGTAGCGAGGCTGGTTCTACCACATACTCTATCTTACTCCTCCAGTTACATGTCTTATTCACAGTTTGATCCTCCTTTTGCAGATGGTTAGTACTGGACATGCTGTCTCACAGTACTCTCTCTGTGCACTCTGATGGAAACGAGCAGCTTTCTGTGGTCAGATACTCCCCTGGTGAGTGGCAGAGTGTATGCATGTGAGCAGAGTTTGGATATGATCTCCCACCCTTCCTTACAATTTCACCACTGTCCCATCTGCCTCTTCAATGTCATAATATATTGTCTCCTGTCCCTCCCTTTCCTTTCTCCTCTTCCAATTCCTTTCACAGATGGAAATTACCTGGCCATTGGATCCCATGATAACGTCATCTATATATACAGCACAGGACAGAGAGATCGTCGGGTCGAGAAAGAGGGCTTTCAAGATATCACCATAGAAGAGGACATTCTCAGAGAGGAGGTGGACAATTCCAAGTCAGGCGAAGGCAGCACATTCCGATATACACGATATGGAAAATGTGTGGTGAGTTAATCTCCATTTGGCATTTTAGTAGCTGCTTTCCAGCACATGCTGTCTCAACCATTTTTGCACAGTTTTGTCCACCTTTAGTAATGTAATTTAAACGTACGCATTGTTTTTCTTCTCCTCTTTTCCCCCACCTTCACGTACTTTGCCACTATCATTTAATTTCTTGTGTTCTCATTTCAATGTAACAATCCAACTACACAGATTTTTATTTTTTTATTTTCCTCTCTCATTGCGTCTTTCTCTATCCTCCAATCCTAGGGTCATTCCAGTTTTATCACACATTTGGACTGGTCAAAAGATGGAAAACATATCATGTCAAATTCTGGTGACTATGAGATACTGTATTGTAAGTAATATTTTGATTTAACTTTAGTTCTTGATTTTTAGATGAATAAAAGAACAATCTCATTGTATGTAACAAGCAATGTTAACATACATTGGTTTACATGCTTTAGGTCTCGATCTATTATTGTTAGATAAGCTTTCTGAATAATTTAAGTTTTGGATAAACTTTTTAAATAATTTTCTCGACATATTCAAATATCAAAAAATATATCATATATATATATAAAGACTACAGTACCTTGCACTCAAGCTGCAAAAAATGTTCTTGGCCGGGTGCACTACCGGGGCTCCAAAATAAACAGTAGAAAGCAGATGACTGCACTCATGGTCTTCCAAGTAAAAATTAACTTTTATCATGTCATTTTAAATTCAGGATCAACATTTCAGTCCTCTCCAAGAACTTTCATCAGGATCATCTTTCTACGGTCTTGTAGTTAAACGTTTTCATACCTTTATTGAAAAATTATTAAAGTATGCAGATCAACGTTTCAGTCACGGTCCGGGACTTTCCTCAGGATCAGGGTTTATGATCCTGAGGAAAGTCCCAGACCGGGACTGAAACGTCGATATGCATATTTTAATGATTTTTTTAATAAAGGAAGAAAACTTTTAACTACAAGACCGTGAGTGCTAGCCTATATCAATTTATGCCTATTGGATATTTAGCCCTGGGCTTTAAGCACCCGGCAAGGATATATTTGAGCCTGGAGTGCAAGGAATTCGAATGACTATCTATATATAATGTTCAAGTAGAGATTGTAGCCGTATTAGTCCAGTGATGTTTATGTAAAAAACAGATAAAATTTGTATCTTATAATACCTTTTTTTTTGGGACTAACAGAGTTTTTTAATGACAAGCTTACGGGAGAACCTCCCTTTCTCAAGTCTAAAGCATTTCTGAGCAAGACGACACATAGAATTCAAAGCTGAGTTGTGATACAGGGTTCAAATCGATATGAGTGCAGATTAGACAGGTTTGAGGGGCGTAAATATTAACAGAAAGAATAGAGGACTAAATATTGATTTGGGTTTCTTGTCCCACTACCAACACTTTACATGAACACTCCCCCCACATTATCTTACTGTAATATGTATAAACACTTTAAAACGCATTCCAATATATTTATTCTATCAATGTACGAAGTACTATGTGTAGACCTATGCTTTCCCATACTCTTATGCATGTATGCTTATATATGTGACTGTGCATTTATATTTGTGTATATGAGTTCATGTGCATGTATATATATATATGTGGATGTATATGTGTTTATGTGTATGTATTTGTATATGTGTTAATGTGTTTGCATATACAAATATATATTTGTGTGTGTGTGTATCTATAAAGTCTACCATCTTTTGCATTGTCTGCTTAGTTTTTTTTCGCCGTTTCCCCCCTCACTCTGATCTTCAGAAAGATATTTACGACCCTCCGCAAGAATGTTGTCTATTTTTTATCAAACCTGTGTCTTCTCTGCACTCCTGTCCTCTGTATCACAATTCAACTTTGAATTCTATGTGTCGTCTTGCTCAGAAATGCTTGAGACTTGAGAAAGGGAGGTTCTTCCGAAAGCTTGTCATTAAAAAATTCTGTTAGTCCAATAAAAAGGTATTACAAGATACAAATTGTATCTGTTTTTGACACACACACACACACACATATATATATATATATATATATATATATATATATAAAATCATTTAAAAAGTTTAGCCAAGAATATTAAAGGGACACTATAGGCACCCAGATAACTTAATCTCAATAAAGTGCACTGTCCCTATCCCCTTAACGGATAACTGCAAGACATTACAGTTTTAGAGAAACTGCTATCTTTCTCTGTAATGGAAACTCTGTGCCACTGACTTTTGGAGAGGCTTGAAGGCCAGCCTCCATCACACAGACTATGGACTTGGTCCCAAGAGCCCCTAAAAGTGGTAATTGTTACTGTGGCGAGGGAATGCTACCTGTGTTTCTCAACTGGACTTGAGGACCTGAGGGCATCGCCTGAATTTGTTTTGCATATCGAGCACCAGACCGGGAGACACCCTTAAACACTGAAACTATTCCTCAGATCGGAACTGTGCCGAGATCCAGTAAATCTTTAAGGGGGTACTGCTTGTTTCCCCGGCCTCCAAAGAGTGCTAAGTGGAGGGGGGGTCTGGGAGGCATTGGAAGATACCTGGGGCTTCAGAGTGCTCCCTTCCCCAGAGGTCTGGGAACCACTTTTGTGAGATCAGGACTATATTGCCACACACCTTGAACTCCTCGCTGGTTCTGAGATTAGTCCTGACCTAGACATGCATTCTCAGATCAGGGCACCAGTTGAACAGTGAGAATGCTCGGAGAGGAGCTTTCCAGGCTTAAATATTGTGTATGGTCCAGAAAAAGGGGATTCTGGCAGACATTTTGTGTGCTGTGCCTCTAGGACTCTGAGGACACAGCAGGGAGCCTATTGTTTTAGATGACTGATAATGTAATTAAGTCCCCAAGCAGAGTGGCTGGGAAGAGACAATTGTACTGTACATTGCATTTTATATATAGAATTGCTGTGTATAAATAACTGTGTGCTGTGCAATGAAGATCATTCTATCCCCTACAATTAGACTCTTCTAATGCGTGGGGGGAAGGGTATAGTCTCTGCATTACAGGAGAGCAGGTCTCTGAGCTATAATTACTGCAGCCTGGTCCAGTTTAAGAGGTCCTTGAAGACCCAAGTCAAGCTTTGGTGCTTGGGTCTGAATTGCTTTAAATCATTTGGAAAGCCTATGCAGCATTATTATATTGAGGCCTTGGTTAGTTAATACACCAAGCTTATTATGTGTTCAAACCTCGGGGTTCCAGGTTCTGTTTAAGGCAGAGTCAACTCTTTTATTCATTCGAGATTGATAAAATTTTAAAGACTAGCAGCTACTAATCAGTTTGACAATTTTGCTAAAATCTGAGATAATTTGACAAAATTATTCTTAAAGAGTATTTTAAATTTCTTTTTTTTATTACTTTACAGGGGATATTGCAAGTGGCTGCAAACTTCTCAGGAATAGATTTGAGAGCAGAGACCGTGAATGGGCCACATATACATGTGTATTGGGATATCATGTGTTTGGTGAGTGAGTCCACGTATATATGTAGCTGACATCACTACCTGGGCATTTCTTACCCAAGAAATTTACACCTATCCCATGCCAGCATCCCTATTCTGGGGTCCACATGTAAAGATGGAGCAGAGAGACAGAGAACTAAGGACATAGCTGTCATGGGAAATAGCATTTAGTAACCACCCTTGTCAACCACCCAGGCCACTCTTCAAGTGCTGAGTCGACAAAAAAGTGCGGTATAGAACATCACACTTCCTCTATCAATTCTTTAAAATTTTGTTCTACAGCTCTTAATATTGTCATCTTGTATAACATCAAGATTGTAATGTTTGGTAGGGTTGGCTGACTACAGATATCATCACTGAAAGAAGAGAGATCCGAAACAATTTTGCAAGTGTTCTAAATATCTGCTAGAGAACAAAGTGTATTCATGTCTAGAGAATGCAGATAACTTTTCAGAAGAAAAAAGTGAAGACAAGTAAAACATACATTATCAAATAGCATACTGTTTCAAGTATATTACCCATTAAAAGACAAATGTAATGAGATTAAGCCAGAGACATTTGTTAAAATGAAGTTTGGTAGAAAGCAAATTAGGGCCCTTAACCTGATATCAATAGCAAGATAAAGGATGTGCTGACAAGCTGATGTTTCTGATAACCTTCCACATAATTACAATTATAGTCCTATAAAACAGTGGTTCTCAACCCAGTCCTCAAGTACCCCCTAAGAATCCAGGATTTAAGGATTACCCTGTGGTGTCGAAGGTTTTTTTTTAAAAAAAAAGGCACTTTAGACACAACAGGGTAATTCCTAAATGCTGGACTGGTGGGGGGTACTTCAGAACTGGGTTGGCACCCACTGCTATAAAAGAAGCTGCATGGGGCAGGGGCAAGAGGGTCTATTATAAAAACCTTCACAGATAACTAATTAGCCTTTCCAAGAAATCTGTTCCACTCTCATACATGATGGTTTGTCTCCTTTATCCCAACTGTTGTTCAAAGGATTAGATGCAGGTAGACTCACTATGAACTGGCCTTGTGAAGGCTAGACATAGACCTACATGGTCAAAACATTACAGATCCATCACTGATGAAGGAATAAATAGTTAACTTTTTAATGTTATCTATGTGTGTTGCCAGAGGTAACAGGTTTTAATTATACTTTCCTTTGCTGTTTGACAAATAAGAATAAATGCAGCAGTGCTTAGTGAAATGAATACATTATAAAATGTCTGCAAGTAACACTTTTACAATTTAAGTATGTCCATGTGCATCTGTTTATTTGTGTCTTTACATTTACAGGGGTCTGGCCAGAGGGGTCTGATGGGACAGATATTAATGCACTTGCACGTTCGCGTGGGATGACATTAATCTCCGTGGCTGATGATTTTTGTAAAGTTCATCTCTTCCGCTATCCATGCAATAAGCCAAAGGTAACAAGGGAATGGTGCAAGGGCTTATAGGAATTTATTGAGTTTTATCTACAGGGATATTAATTTACAATCCAGATCTGCATTGTCTAAGGAAACTCACTATTCTAGAAAAATATGTCAAAATATGATGTAGCAAATAACATCATGTAATTAATAATCCGCACCATCATGGCGCATGTAGCACAGGGTTACACATCACATGGAATTGGTGTGAAGTTATTGTCATACTTTTATGAAAATAATGTCTCTTCAACAGGCACCCAGCCATGTGTACGCTGGTCACGGAAGTCATGTGACCAATGTCCGCTTTTCATATGATGACAGGCACCTTGTATCGCTGGGTGGGAAGGATGCCAGCATTTTTCAGTGGAGGGTGGTTGGAGGAAGCAACTTGCCACGCAGCCAGTCAATGTCATCCTCTTCATCACTGGAAGCTGCTCCCTAATTTTCAATCAAAGAGAAACACCTCCAAGCAGAGACATGTCATTCCACCTCGAGCCTCAGAAAACACTGAGCCATGTCTCTAATCACCACAATGCCTTCTGACAGTGGTACGTGAAACAATAAGAGGAAGAACTTGGCAGAGACACTGCAGCAATAAAGTCTGACCCTCTAATACAGAGACATGTTTCCTCACGCTACTATAGAGCTATAAACTCTAATATAGAGTTACGTATCCAATTCAAGAGACAGGTCTTCTACCAGCTGTTCCTTACAGAGCCAAACAAGCTAACATGGAGCCACACTGTCTCATAAAGAGATATGTCTTGTAACACTGTAATACAATATAGAGCCGTATTTGCTAACTGAGAGCCACATTTTCCAATACAGAGGCATGTGTCGTAACACTGTTTATCTATACAGAGCCATACTAGTTAACTAGAAACCACACAATCTAATACAGAACCCTGAACTCCATACTAGCATATTGAGAGCCAATATCTGCCTACTTAGAGCCATGCATATAGTACCGATACTCTATAAAGACCAATTACAGATCAATCAGTGACATCTCCCTAGAATAGATACATCATTTTTAATAATAGCCTTTGCTTCAGATCATGCTCCCAGCGATGTGCATCTCCTTATATCATAGAGACAGGAAGCAAGCATGTTAAATAACATAGAGTAGAATGTATTTTGACAAACACATCTAACTATGTTTTGATTGAATGTAGTATGATTTTGCCCAGCTAACTTCTGAAAAGTATCACATTAGAGAGCTCAGGGAAGATGATCAGTTTCTGATAGCTGTGAACAAGTGAACGTCCATAAAGAATTAAAAGCTGCTCATCACATCAACAAACATTGAATCAACATTTAAAAATCTGCATTATAGATTAATATATATTAATATATATGTTCAGAATAGAAAAAAAAATCCCAATTAAGAATGTCATACAAATGCAATGTTATTTTGAATTATGTTTAGCAAAAGGCTTCATAACACAGAAAGGAAGTAGAGGAGAAGAGGACAAATATGAGGATATTATAGAATACCTGATCTGATAAGTAAAATGTATGTTTGTTAAATTTTATGAAGAATTGTAAATTTAAAACTGGAGAGCCGAGTAGAGAGATTCAAAAAAGCTAATTTGCCTTAGACATCTGTGAAGAAGTCCAACCAGTGGAGATACAGTCCATGCCAGTAGGACCAATGCAGGTCCTGTAGAATGATGATGGCATTGTGACTCCACTTCCATATATGTGAGGCTTTTCAAACTGTTACATATGTGGTGGACATGGGAGAGATGTGTAATCACTTATTATATATATATATCACAGGCATTTATTAAGGTGCTGTGTGAATGCATGAAGAACATTTCTAATGATAGAGCAGCTGTATAAACTTGCAGGTTGAATGTTGCAGTAATCATACCATACACAATGCATACATTAAAACTTTAATTGTGTACTCACAAACTCCAGTCGCGGGGCAATACCCCCTGGCACAAGAATACTGTCTAATACCCTTCGTTATTATACCTATGATACATTATTAATACTCATAAAGTGTTGACATATTCTGCAGTGCTGTAGGACATACATCTTAATACAATACATGTTTATCTTACATAAAAAAAAGGTTGGTAATAGACTCATACCCATGTCTCTTGCATATATAGTAATACAAAATATGTGATGACATCTCACGATGTGCGACAGCTTCTCATGTAAGTGGTGACCTAGACACGCTAACCGAGTAACCTGACATACACAGGACTGACATACATGACAGAGACTCAGCCACCAATATGAAAAACATGTATCCTGGCTAATGGACAATTCCCAGATATAGACTGACTTAAGAGGTATGCTTACTGAAGAACAGTGTGCTTATCTTCAAATCTCCTTCCCTTTATGCTCTCCCAAAGCCTAGTGCTGGACCCACTATTAACAAAATATTCTCCCCATTGCCAGTCGAGCTTTTGTAACACCCCTTCAGCTCTTGCCTCCAGGTGTATATATAGTGATATATTTGTGTAATAATTGCTCTTGAATTTATATGGAACTTTATTAAAATTTTATTTCTCATATTATGAACTCTCAGTTGATTTGAATTTTCCGACATATAAATTCCAGTGAAGTGGTAAATTAAATCTGTCGATCTATCCGTCTGTCTATCCATTTATCTACCTATCCATCCATCTAGCTATCTAACTTACCATCCATCCGCCTGTTTGTTAGCCAAAGATGAATTGTAAGGGAAAAGCAATTAATGTCTTTCTGTAACACATTTCGGAAGTTTCGTTGTCTGCAGAAGAACACATTTTGTTTGTTTAAACTAACATTTATTATCAGTTGTTTATATAAATCTAACAGTTTCTTCCAGTACTGAATTAATTGAATATAAAATCATGATGTAATAAAAATAACATTTACAGATAGTCAGTGCCCGATTTAGATGTCAGGTGCCTGTAGACACAAAAATCCTAAGGAGTCCTGTGCTCCCCAACCCCAAAATAATGCAGATAAATTAGGTATAATGAATTGATTAGCTGCACATTGCAGGCCTAAAAAGATCTAAAAAACAAACAAACTATATTCGTATTTGACAACTACGTATGTATAAATGTATGTTTGTGCATATTTGTACTCTGCTTGTAATCTGTTGTTTGAATTTGTGAGCAATGAGCAGCTGTGCAAATGCATGCAGGGTTAAAGATAATGTTAGAAGTGGTTAGGCTAAAGAGGGGGTTGAAGGTTATACTGTGGTTAATATCAGAATTGGATTACCATAAGCGGTGTCGTCCAAAAAAGGAATAGACCAAACCGAAAAATGTACAGACCAGCCTAAACATGGGGTGAACGAGCAACCTGACAGGCAGCCTGGCTAGCCCCCAGCTATTAGGACCTTGAGGGGAGTGCTGAGGACGCACTCCTTGCATGGTTCTAGTGCCCGCTGCCAAGCACCCGTCCATCTAATGATGCACTCACGTTTTGCTGCCCAGGAACAGTTCCCTGATGTCCCCAGAAGATGGACACCAGGAAAATAAAGCAAGACAGCAGGAGAGCACCCCAAAATTGGGCAAGTGTGAGCAGAGGTGTAACTAGAAACCAGGGTGTACCGGTGCAAAAAATGCCCTGCCCCTCCCTCCCAACTCCATACTTCTCACATATAGACACACACACACACATATATAGAGACACATGACACATACATACAGACACACACATACATACAAACACGCACACACACATACATACAGAGACACATACATACAGACACACATACATACACATGCAAACACACACATACAGAACCACATACACAAACACACACACAAGCTAAATGTTTTAGTCACGCTCCTTTTTCCTACCTTTTAGGTGCAGGAGGGTGACTTCCCTGGGGTCCATTGGCTCCAGCTGATGGGAGTCAAAGTTCCCACTCTGGCTCCCTCCTCTCCTTCCTCCTCCCGCACGGCTCTTGGTGATTGCTGGGAGGAAGTTACCAGGGCAGTCACTTCCTCCCAGCGTCTGACATCATCATCAGAGGGGGCCCGGTAGCCCTGTTAAAGCGTCGCAGCGCTGACCATGCCCCCTGGAGATTCATTACCATCGGTTGGCCCTAACAGCATAGGCCACCCGATGGGTCCCTTCAATGCGGCCCAGGCAAATGTATGGCGTGGGCTGGCCCCCCTGGATTGTCAGGCTTTGTCGCAGCTGCGACCCAGGTAGTTCTGCCACTGGGTGTGTGGCATGCATGCATGTGAGCAGTTAAACAAAGGATTAAGGTAAAGGTTGTTTTTTTAGGTTTAGGATTTGAGTGCTGGTGTTTGAAGGGTTCTTTGCAAGGTGCTTACCTCCTATGTCTTCTGTAGACCAGTCAGATTGATGATATTAGAGCTTCATGAGTGGTTATACAGTGTGCATCACTCAGTGCAATCCTATGATATACAGTGTGCCTCTCTCAGTGCTGACCTATGATATACAGTGTGCATCACTAAGTGCTAAGAGCTTCTTCTCCTCTTGCAATGGATTTCCTGTGAGAGGTTACTAGTGGGCAGATGGGAAGTGATCCGTACATCTTTCTGTCCAGCCTCACACAGACACTGGAGGAGCTAGGACAACACTGAGTTTTTCACTCAAAACTGTTTTTTTTTCTTTCAGTTTTTCCTCTTAAATTACAGTACACCTTCTGATTCAATAGCTTGTAGAACCACCTTTAGCAGCAAAAACTTGCAGTAATCATTTTCTGTCTTTATCAGTCTCTTACATTGATGTGGAGGATTTTGAACGACTCTTCTTTACAACATTGCTTCAGTTCATTGAGTTTTGCTGGCATTTGTTTAGTCACAGCTTTGTTACATAGTTACATAGCTTAAAAAAAAAAAAAAAGACTTGCGTCCTTCAAGTTCAGCCTTCCTCACATTTGTTTTTTGCTGTTGATCCAAAAGAAGGCAAAAAAAACCCAGTTTGAAGCACTTCCAATTTTGCAACAAACTAGGGAAAAAATACCTTTTTGACCCCAGAATGGCAGTCAGATTTATCCTTGGATCAAGCAGTTATTACCCTACATTGAAAGATTATATCCTTGAATATTCTGTTTTTGCAAGTATGCATCTAGTTGCTGTTTGAACATCTGTATGGACTCTGATAAAACCACTACTTCAGGCAGAGAATTCCACATCCTTATTGTTCTTACAGTAAAAAAAACCTTTTCTTTGCCTTAGATGAAATCTTCTTTCTTCTTTCAGTCTAAACACATGACCTAGTGTCCTGTGTAAAGTCCGGTTTGTGAATAGATTTCCACACAATGGTTTGTATTTGTAACGAGAATATACCCCTACACGCAGGATCCAGCTAAACAGAAGCCAATACAGAGGAGAGATACGTCTACCGGACCTTAGAATGGCCGGACTCGACGTATATGAGAGGAGACAGAGCCAGGAACAAACCGAGGTCAAGGGCACAGAGAGACAGCGTAAACTAGGACAAGCCGGG